CAGTGGTTTCAGACAGTGCTTCTTCGGGAGCCAGAAGCACTGCAAGCTGACGAAGCTTTGTCCAGCCATGGGGTACACGTTCAGGCTGGCTGCCCGGAATGACATCGGTACCAGGTATGACATTCCCGGTCACCTTGCCCTCGGTTGTGGGGTGGTGATCCTGAGCTTTCTCGCACGCTGCGGGAAGGTGTGAGGAGGCCTGCTGCCTCCACAGCGAACCAACGTGAGATTTTCCAGAGGGAGTCCCCCTGAGCAGAAGGCCTCTTCAAGGTGGCGAATGCCATAGGCCTCTCTGAAGCCTCGTGAGCCATCCTCTGAAGGCCCAGCAGGGGCCTCTCAGAGCCAAGGCGAAGAGAGCAGTACAGATTTTGAAAGTAATTCTTCTTAGGGCTGTTTCCTTTTTTTCCAGACTATGTGCCGTTTCTTTCATCACTTGAGCAGGCTCTTTATTAGTTACCTTTTTTCAATCACGCGAGTATTTCCTGATGCAGAGGGAGGGGTGCTGCGCCAGCTATTGTCTGGCCCAGAGCAGTCCTCCCAGGAGAGGAGAAAGCCTGGGCCGTCCTGGGCTCTGCTGCTTGTCCCGGCTGCAACAGAGAGGCAAGAACAGGTGTGTGTGGAGCCCTCAGTCATTAAAGAGGCTTCGCGAGGCCGTGTTTCAACTGCACTTGCTGGCAACTCTTGATTAAGGGGAAAAAATCTTTATCTTTCAACTCTGCCTGTTGAAAATCTCAAAGGTTCAGCACATCAGTGATTCCCAACCTTCTTCCTAGACTAAAGCACTTTTGTTCATGTCACAAAGTTTTGCACACCCGCTCTCGCATCCCAGCTACCCATTGTAGTTTGAGAGTTCACTGGTCGAAAAAGTCATTAGACAGAAGCGTCTGTGGTTCAAGCATGTTTGCATGAATTAGAAGCATCTACAAGCTTTGGAAAACACTGCTGTATGCATTTATAAAACCCTTATTCTGTCACCAGTTATTGGTGCTCACATTAATTTGCAGACTCCTCGGTAGCTTTGTGAACAATGCACTGAGCTCTGCGTCCTGTTCGAGACTTTGGGGGTGGGGAGGGACAAACTTTTAAATATATTGACCTACAACTTGATATGCTTTTCTTTTTTTTAATTTCATTTATTATTATCATTACCATTATTTAATTTACTATAAGGCATGTACATTCACCAGAGAGAGACCAAGAAAGGGAAGGGAGAGAAAGGGGGAAAGAGGGAAAGTGAGAAAGCAAGCCGACAGGTCTGGGACTTGAACCACCATCGACCATGGGGGAATCCAGCATCTTAACCACCATGGCACTTGCTGGCCCCTCGATATGCTTTTCTGGTAGCAGATGATAGAGGGAAATAGGGCAGGTTGAAGGCTGTCGTTGGGAGTATCAATGAGAGATCCTTGCCTGCCTTTGGGTTCTGAGCCTGTCAGGCCCCAGACTTCCAACTCGGGCGAGGTGGGCAGCGTGTGGCCTTATCCCCCTCAACACGGAGACTCACCTGCTCCTAACTCTGTCCCACTGTGTGCGCTTCTCTTCAGCGGTTACAGCCAAGAGGTGGTATGCTACACGTTAGGGAACATCCCTCAGATGCCCTCTGCACCCAGACTTGTTCGAGCTGGCGTCACTTGGGTCACGCTGCAGTGGAATAAGCCAGAAGGCTGTTCGCCAGAGGAAGCAATTTCTTATACCCTGGAAATTCAGGAGGATGAAAACGTGAGTCTTGTAGATTGCGTACCTGTGGCTATGTTCCGTGTAAGCCCGCATCGTTGTAGCTACAGGGGGTCGTGAAGTAGATGAGCCACCCGAGTGCAACGCCGGCCTCTTCGTTCCCACCACCTCCACCACCACGAGCCTGCCCTCCCCATCCCAGTAAATGACAACCCGTGCTATTACTGGGGGAAGCCGAAAACCCTTGGCCCCAAATACCAGTCAGCAAATCCTTTTCAAGTCTTTCTTCAAGTTGTCCACATCACCAACCATTTTCACCATCTCCATAACGACAGCCTTTGCTAGCCACCACCTTGCCCCGGGAAGTCGCAGGGGCAGCGTTATCCTCAACTTCCCCTCCTTACCCCACGGCCTGAGCGGCCCATAAATCGTGCCTAGGTTCCGTCAGTGTTCTGCTCAGAACCTCCCTGCCTCGGGGCTCTCAGCAGAGCCCTCCTGGCATCCACAGTCCTGTGTACAGGCCCCACTGCCTTCCCTGCTCCTCCCACCACGGCCTCCCCGGTCCCTGCCTGTCCCTGAACATACTCAGCACGTTCTGGCCCGAAGGCCTGTGTGTTCCCATGCCGTGTGGTGAGCATGTGCTTCCAGGTGGCCCTGGCCCACCTCCCTCGCTGCCTTCAGGTCTCTTTGCCGATGTCATGTCTTAGGACAGCCTCTCCCTGACCACTCCGTAGAGCAGACTGTCCAGGGACGGAACTGTTCTGCAGGATATGCTGGCCCACGGGGAGCGCCCGCACACGTGTGGCTCTCAAGCACGGGAGCTGTGGCTTGTGGGCCCGTGGGGCTCAGGGTTGTTTCTTATTTGTTTGCTTTGTTGTGTTTGTTTGTTTTGTCTTGTTTTTGTTTTTTAAAAATTATTTAACTTTATTTATTTATTTGAATTTATTTATTTATTTTAATTTGACCCAAGTGATGGGGGGTGGGTAGTGAGAAAGCAAGCAAGCCTCCAGGTCCAGGACTCGAACCACAGTCGGCCATGTGGGAGTCCAGCACCCTTAACTGCACATCAACTGCTGGCCCTCACAGACCTGAGGTTTTACCTGTGGTACATGTTAATTCAGCGAGCCAAATGTGGCTGCCATGCTGCGCTCACAGAGCTGTGGGGAGCAGCATCTCACAGGCTCCCCCTCGCCCTCCTCCTACCCAGTTTTAGTTTTTGTTCCAGCACCGACTTCCACATGGCATGCTTGCTGTTGCATGTCAGTGTTTTGTTTTTAGTTACTTTCTGTAATGGGCACATAAGCCTCTTGTGAGCAAGGCCCTATGTGCTCTTGGGCAGTGCTGGCTCCTGAGAACCTAGTAGAGAGCCTGGTGCATAGAAGGTGCTCAGCAGCAGTGGATGGATGGATGGGTGGATGGATAGATGGTGGGTGGGTAGGTTGGTGGATGGATGGATGGATGGATGGATGGAGGAATGGATGGATAGGTGGATGATGGTCAGTACTACTGAATGAATTTCATACATTTGACTTCTAGTGGGATGTTTATGCTCTTAAAGGATCCCGCCTTCCCCCTCTTCTGCCCTTCCCCCCTTGGCCAGAAGCGGAAACCACACGGATGGCTACTCAGATACACTTCATTTCATAGCACACTGCAACTTGACAGTGAAGTCCTCAACAAGAGCCTTCTTATGTGACAACATTGTTAAATAAAAAATGTTACAGTGCTGGGAACCAGCAGTTAGCGTAATGGCTATGTCGCTGGACTCCCACATAGGCAACCGCAGTTCGCGTCCCGGACCCGGTGGCTTAAAACTCATGCCGGGCGCGTGTGCGTGTGTGCCCAAGATCCCGAGAGGAGAATGGAGGAGAAGGGATTAGGGCCTGGCCATCTCCCCTGGGGGGTGATTTCTCGCTTTCTGTCTCTATGTCTCTCTCTCTCTGTCTGTCTGGCGAGCGCATGCTCCCTATAGCGAAAAAAACCTCTCCAAAAAAAAAAAAAAAAATTAGAAAGAAAAAAATGTTCCAGTGCTTACAGCCCCAGGAGAACTTAGAGTGTGATAGCAACATTCTCATTTAAGGCTCGAGTGCCGTCTATAGCACTGTGGGTCTCCGGTACTCTGCTTTGCAGTAGCTGCCAGACATCTGGCCCCTGGCGATGGTAGGAAGAAACAGTATAAAAATTCTATGTACAAACGTCTTTAATGCCCAGATTTTATGATACTGATGTGTTTTTTTCTGGCTTTGCTTTTTCAGGATAACCTTTTCCACCCAAAATACACTGGAGAGGATTTAACCTGTACTGTGAAAAATCTCAAAAGAAGCACACAGTATAAATTCAGGGTGAGTCCGTCACTGTGGGACCTGAACTGCTTAAAAAGAAAGTTGCACCGTTTCCCATTTCTAATTGACTCTACAGGTTAAAAGACGCTTGAAGTTCACAGCACTTCACATTTCTAAAGTAACATTTATAAAGCGCACACCATCCTTAGTTTGTGGGAGAGCAGACTGTCATAACGTGCAATATACATTGTCTCAGGGCGCGGCCCGCCCCGAGCCTGGGACAAGGCGAACCAGACTCCGATTGCACCTGCTCCCCGCCCCCCTCTTCCATGCTGCTCCTTTCAGTTCAGTTCGTTCCTCTTGCTCTGCATTTTCCATTGCTCTTCTGCCCCTTTCTTCACGGTTTCATTTTTCTCTTCTAATTACTCACCCTCACTCCACTTAGGCCGTCCTGGGTCCTTAACAACCACTATTAACCTTCACCAGAGGACTTCGTATTGTAGCCAAAATACAGATTCAACTTCGTGATCATTGAGGGAAAGAAAAGGCAGTGCGCTTGGTGCATTTGGCGCACTGACCCTGCGCATAGCGACACAGAGCCTTGATAGGAAAAGCGTTTTGGAGAGAGAAGGTTGTCTTTGGTTCAGGCCTCTCTCTAACTTGGGGGCTGAATGGCGTTACTTGACGGGCAGCCGTCACTTGATGAGTAGCTGTCATTATCCAGGGAGGTCTGACTGCTGGAGGAAAACACTTTCTGCCGTGTTAGGGACACTGGCTGCGAAGACGTGGCTAGACTGCAGCTTTTCTCCACCAGGTGGCACTGCCCTACTCTTAAATAAGTGAGATTTGGTTTTTGTATGCTTTATCTCCCCAACGCTTTCCTTCCATGAAACAATAGGAACTAGCTGGAGACATATTGGTTTAATTGCATGGAAGTGCTGCAAAAGTTCATGGGAAAATGGAATTATAAAGTAGGAGTTTATTTTAGTGCAAACATTTTTGAAATCTGTGCATAGTTTTTTTATACTAAGCATTTTCCATGAACACTTTGAAAATCCTCTTATGTCTTCTTGAAAGGGTAAAAACATTGTTAGCTAAAATCCACTTTATGGTTTTATGCTTAATTGCTCATAGTCAACGCTCTAGAAAATAAATCCTCCTTAATGAGCGCCTCTGTTTAGACAGAGAACGTGTGCATGAGTGTGCGTGTGTGTGTCCAGCCTGAGTTTACAGATGTCCCGATCTCGCCATGTTAAAAAGTTATCACCAGGGGCCAGCAGATGCCGTAATGGGTACGTCGCTGGACTTCCATGTGGTTGACCGTGGTTCAGGTACTGGACCACGTGGCTTAAACTCATGCCGTGTGTGTGTGTGTGTGTGTGTGTGTGTGTGTGTGTGCACGCGCGCATGCAAGCGTGCCCAAAATCCCGAGAAGAGAATGGAGGATAAGGGATTGCAGTATGGTCGTCTCCCTGGGAGCTGATTTCTCGCTTTATGTCTCTCTGTCTCTCCCGCAAGCGCACACACTCTGTGGCAAAAAAATCTCTTTTTTTTTAAAAAAAAAAGGTCTCACCGATTTCCTGTCTGATTGCTAAATGTTAATGTTTTGTTTTGTTTTGTTTTTTCATTGTGATGCAGCTGACTGCTTCTAATATGGAAGGGAAAAGCTGTCCCAGTGAAGTGCTGGTTTGTACAACAAGTCCTGACAGGCCTGGACCTCCTACCAGGCCCCTTGTTAAAGGACCGGTTACACCTCACGGCTTTAGTGTCAAATGGGGTATGTTTTGCTGCCTTTTTTTTTTTAAACAGATTTTTAAAAATCAATTTATTTCACTAGCCAATTAGTAAATAAGTAAAAAAAAAAAAGCAGTAATATTTGCAGGAGTTTTATGCATTTGAAATGTGTGAAAAACCTCTTAAGAATTCTACAAATTGGAATACACTGTTCCATTAAAATGGAATTTTAACAGACAGTTAAATTTTAACTACGAACATGGAGAATTTTAAAAGTATCTCATTTGTTTTATGATTTTTTTATATTACATATTTTTCTTATATTTTTAATGTATTATTCAAATGTAGTATTTCTAAATATATAGTTCATTCTTCAGTAGCTCACCCTTAAAAAAAAAGTTAACTAGGAACCAGCAGTTAGAGTAATGGCTATGTCGCTGGATTCCCATGTAGTCGACCACGGTTCGCGTCCCGGACCTGGTGGCTTAAAACTCACGCCAGGTGTGTGTGCGTGCGTGCTCAAGATCCTGAGAGGAGAATGGAGGAGAAGGGATTGCGGCGTGACCATCCCCCCTGGGGGGTGATTTCTCGCTCTCTGTCTCTATGTCTCTCTCTGTCCTTCTGGCGAGCGCATGCGCCCTATAGCAAAAACCTCTCAAAAAAAAAAAGTTAACAGTATGTAATAGAAACTTTCTGATGTGTAAAGTTAATATTGAAAATATATCTCAAAGTTTAGGTATGTCTGTCGTCTTAAATAAATTTTGGAACACAGAATGTTTAAGTTGCAGTGGATTAGCAATACTTTTGTTTTCTTTGTCATTTATGTGTAACTAGTCTTGAACTTCAGGAATTTTTCATATTGAACTTCATATGGATTTTGGTATTATTTGGTGGGAGAATATTATGGCTCACCTTCATTACAGGGGTTCTTTCAGTGAAGTGAATGAAATGACAAGGTTGTAAACATTTATAACTATTTAAAACTGGTGTGTAATTTTTACTAGCATTATATAATAATATTAACTACCTAAAAGGAAAAAAAAAAAGTAGAAATACAACAACAAAATTTGCCTGACAGCCAATGTAAGGGGAATTTTAAACCTTAAAAGACCAGTTACTGGAGACCAACCATTAAGATACTTAATTGTTTCAAGTTGCCTAATTATTTTGAGGCAGAATTACTAAGATTATTTTCTTGGAAGAGGAATATAATTAAAAGAAACTATAAAAAAGTAGGTGTATTTTTCGCCAGACTGTATAGCTTTTTGCTCAGAAAATCCTAGCATGTTCTTTCAACATGACGATCACTTTCATTAGCTATATGCTGTAATGTTTAACTTGATAATTATTATTGCACATGTCTGTTGCTGGAGTGTGTATACATGAATGGAAATACCAGGGGAAAGGAAAGGAAAAATATATTTTCTAGATCCGTATGTTGTAAACTTAAGTGTCCTTAGGAAAAGTCTCCTTTCCCTCTAAGGACGTAGAAGTTACAGGCTGACACTAGAAGAAAACTCATCAGTCTTGCAGAATTATACAGAAAAGCGTTTTTCTGCTCAGAAAATAAAACCCTGCAGGCATAGAGTTACCAGTAGACCATTTACCCAAGGTGAGATAAGGCCCTAGGGATAAGCTGGACCCTTCTTCAAGCTGTCTGCCTGGTACCACATTCCTTCTGATCTGGATCTCTGGTTTTAGATCAGGTCTACCCGGGATATGAAGTTTGCTTACTAGCAAACTATGATGGAACAGACTGACTCCATTTTAGTATTTTATTTACTTGGTCAATGCCTTTTTGCACTTCTTTTTCCTTCCCTCTATATCTCTCAAAAGAATCTGGTCACTGATAAAATAAGTGAAGTTAAAAAAAGACTAAAATAATAAAAACAAAAAGTATATGAATATTTCATCCTATATAAAAATGATCAAATATCAAAGAGTGGCTTTTAGATTTCTCAAAGTAAATTCTTTTTTTTTTAAGAGGGATTTTTGCTATAGGGCATGTGTGCTCTTCAGAGAGACAGAGAAGAGAGACAGAAAGTGAGAAATCACCCCCAGGGGAATGGGCACTCTTAGGATCCTCTTAGGATTCTGGGCATGCACGCACTTACACCCGGCGTAACTTTCAAACCATCAGATCCAGGATTCTAATCATGGTTGACCGGTGGGAGTCTAGTGACATAACCATTATACCACCTTTTGGAGAGATTTTCGCTATAGGACGCATGCGCTCGCCAGACAGACAGAGATAGACATAGAGACAGAAAGCAAGAAATCACCTCCCGGGGGGATGGTCACGCCACAATCCCTTCTCCTCCATTCTCCTCTTGGGATCTTGGGCACGTATGCACACATGCCCGGTGTGAGTTTTAAGCCACCGGGTTCGGGACGCGAACCGTGGTCGACTACGTGGGAGTCCAGCGACATAGCCATTACGCCAACTGCTGGTTCCCTCAAAGTAAATTCTTAATGAAACAGAAAAATCGATTCAGGGCCAGCCTCACGGTGTAGTAGTTAAATGCAGCGCACAGGGGGCTGGATCCCAGTGAGACCACAATTCAAATCCTGGCCCTGGTTATGTGCAGAACACAGTGGGAACAGGTGCGTGCATACCCAAAAGCCTGATAGGATGGAGAAAGGGAGGAATCAGGACGTGACCACCCCCCAGTAGAGGGCTCGTATCTCTCTCTTTATTCCCACCCTCCTGCAAGCACACGTGCCCTCTGGCAATTAAAAAAGAAAAAAGGGGTGGGAGGGGAGGGTCAATTCATAGTTTTAAGTTTTATAATTCACTTAAATGCTAATTCTTTGCCACTTCTTGCTCAAAGAATTTTGAATAGTATTCAAGGTTTTTGGTTTGTATTTTGTTTTTCAAAGGAGTTGGAGAAAATTAACTATTGTGCCTTTTAGTCAGGCTTAAACTTATGACAATATGTTATATAATGTTATGTTTTCTAGTGATATACCAATAAAAATCAATACTTGTTTATTAGTAATGAGACATTTGCTTCCTTTCCAGATCCTCCGAAGGACAACGGTGGTTCAGAAATTCTCACGTACTTACTGGAGATTACTGATGGAAATTCTGAAGGTGAAGCGTCTGGAAATATTCTATTCAGACCCAGTAGCGAGCCCTTTTCCTCAGACGGTGTACCTCCTTCTAGTAATAGCAGGCAGCCGTTCGCTTGGATGTTAGAGGCATACAAGCAGCGAACTTTAATCACATATTGGCGGTTTTTCTGTTTCAAACACTGTCCCAGAGAGCAGAATCTGCTTGAAGCATGCGTTATATTTTAAACTGTCACGACATCTAGTTTTCACTGATGTCACCTAATGATATAACCACCTAACAGGCAAAAAGCAAAGTGGAAATCTAAAATGAAATACTGACTGACAGCCAAGCAGCATATGGAAAGTCTGAAATACTGTTAGGCTTTTATCAAAGACCAACTAGCAAGACCTATGATGTCTTCTGTTGTGTGTTTCTATTTTCTATTTTTCTGTTGCCTAATGTCATTTTTAAAACCAGATGATTCTAATAAATAGGGTAAATGAATTTAAGTTTTTCATCCCCTAACACTCTTTTCTGGAAATCCTTTTAAGTAAAGAAAGCGTCAGAAGTCAGTAGCAGAAAGGCTCAGCTGGGGGTCATGGGGGTCCTCTGATCTGTGAGACAAGATACAGTGCCATGTGCTAGTGACAGGTGTCACTCTCCTACCAGGGGTTCCAGTCGTCTTTTCCCTGTAGCAGAATTCATTGCTGTTTCCATTATGGTTTAGTTTCGGACCACATTCAGACCTCGTGGTCAGCAAATGTAACCCTCAGGGCGATACTCAGTAGTCTAGCGAGCAGTACGAAGTATGAGGAATGAGTCCATGTCATTTTAGTGTTTCAGTTTGTCATGGCAGTGGAAAGAGAGCCCTTTGGCTGTTAAAAGAAGAGAAAAGCACTGATGCTGGCTTTTGTGGAAAGCGCTGAGCCCTTTCTTTTTTCGGTGGTCGATATTATGACAAAAGGCATCAACTCACGTGTGATTCTTGTTTTACAGCAAACCAGTGGGCAGTGGCCTACAGTGGGGCAGACACGGAGCACACGCTCACCGACCTGAAGCCGGGCACTTTGTACAGGCTCCGTGCGTGCTGCATCAGCACCGGGGGGCACAGTCAGGTGGGCGTGTCTCCCATCAAAGCCAGCCCCTTCTGTCAAACTCGGACGAGCTTTCGGGAACTTTGGTGCAAAGCCACCACGCAAGAATGTGTCTTAGTCATGGTTACAGGGTCCCCTCCGAAAACGACAAATAGAGATTTTGAGTTGTGCTTTAAGGGACCCACAAAATAGGCGTGGGTGATTCTCAGCTGAATCGTGGTACTTGCAGGGATGTTTAAGAACATGGGTTATTTCTCAGAAAACATGGGTTATTTCTCAGAATCATGAGACAGATGAAACCCGTCTGGAATTTGCAGTAGCTACATGAGAGCACCACCATTATTGCAGTGATAAAGAAATAAAAAAGTGTAGACCTTAGACTCAAAAAGCTAGGACCTCCTGGACAGCTCTGCTGTTATCGGTTCATTTTGTGAGATTCTTCAAGGTGCTTTGCTGCCATCTGCTGGAAGATGGTTAGAAAAGCGACACACATCTGTGCCCACAGAGCCAAATAGCAGGGCCCGCCCTGGTGCAGTGCCCAACCCACGCAGCTGTGGGCACCAGCCGGTCCCTCGTCTGCCTCTTACCTGACCGTACCCTGGCCCCTCGGTGTGCCAGGAGCTTTGGTTTCACCACGTGGTGTTCTTAGAGGTGCAAATCTCTTAATGCCTTACATATAAAGTAGTCTAGGCATGAGATCATTGTTTGAGTGGTTTTACCTTATTTTAAGAAAATTGAGAGAGCAGAAAAGTGGTCAGGTATGTTTTTCTGTAGAGATGTTGAACATTATGATTTCAAATCATTAATATATATAGAGAGAGTGGCAGGTTGGGTTGGCTTTTCCACAGAATGCATGCCTGCCTTGGAAGGCTGGCTGTTCCCAGTCAGCCCACCCCACATCCTCTGCTGTTCATTTTCTGCCCTGCAGCCCAAGGGCAATAGTACTGCAGCGTCTAGATCGTCCATGTAGACAGAGTTCTTGTGAGTAGGAGGCCAGCTAGACTGCTCTTAGGCGGTGCCTCCCAGGATGGAGCGTGTCCCCGTTAGAGCCACAGACTGTCGGTGGGTACCGCCCCTGACGGCATCCCCGGATACGTGGAGCCGTTCCTCTGAACCGGTCCTCGGGGGAGACTGGGTCTGGCTGACCACACAGCTTGGCTCTGTTCTCTGTCTCAGAAGCAGCGTCAGCAGTGTCAGGCAGTTTCTTCCCCAGCAGACTCAGGCCACCAGGTCCTGGGAAAAGGAGGCCCGCACTGACTTCAGCACTAACAGAACCTGCTGGTTAACGCCAGCCCCGGCTGACTGAGGCTGGCTTTATTTACTCTCTGCTCAGTGTGTGGCTGGTTGGCCATTTGTGGCACCGTTTTACAGTGTTTTCTTCCAACCTCATGAAAATTCTCCTAATTTTGGCTTAAAGGGAAATAAACCCTACGATGCACCACACTCGTACCTAAGCCGATTTCAGAAATCGTCATTCTGGTTTTTACTATGCTGCATGCAACACGTTCACACACATGCATGTTCCTATGAAGATCTTAGCGCATAGAAAGCATGTAGTCGCGTGTTCCCATGGGGTGGCATTTACAGTGCTGGGTGGAGTTTGTTGGTACGCAGAGGTCTGGTCCATGCACGGTAGCTAAGGTGATTCTCTGCTGTCTCCCTGCAGTGTTCCGAGAGTCTACCTGTTCGCACACTAAGCATTGCACCGGGTCAGTGTCGACCGCCCAGGGTTCTGGGTAGACCAAAGCACAAAGAAGTCCACTTAGAGTGGGGTGAGTGAACAAATCTTCACACTGTTTGGGCCATCGGGGCCTTCGGAGATAAAGACTTGATGCTTTGTAATTAAGTGTCAAGCCTGCCTTCTGCAAAACGTACTTTTCTGTTGAAGATGTTCAGATGCGTTTTACTGTGGGTTGGCTGGGCTTTGTTGTCCCTCGCCCTCCTGTTCCAGATGGTGCTCTGTGCTCTTCACGCTTTACCCTCCAGGGGGTGCTTTTCTAGGGATAGATTCGGACCAGCCTATCTTTTCCGGGAATTTGTCAACTTTTTATAAGTTAAGATCAATTTAGAGAATAGACCAAGAAAAGGCTCCTAGATTAAGACGGAATCTTTTCTCCCGTGGGTGTGCAGTGACCCTTGCTGCTTGGCCACGTGTGTTTTCACGGTTTTGACGTAAGCTGTACTAGCACTTCCAGCTGGGCCGGCAGTTACGGCATGGACACTTTCAAGCAGTTTTAACATGCAGAGCTCTGGCAGACCACCTGGTCACACGATGTTTGTTTAAAGCGTAATAAGATACCATGTCCGTTGTAGGTCCTATACCTGTATTTACATGAGCTTTGGTTTCAAGTGAAAGAGAAGATTTTTCTCTCCTCTTCTCCTTCTCTCGTATTAGAACATGAAGAAATTAGCCTAAACTATTATTTTGAAATTATTTTATTAATGTACTTCCTTTGGAAAATATAGATAATATTGTTGGAGAACTCTTCTCTTGTAGCTCTTTTTTTGGTGGGGGAATGAGTTCTTTTTTAAGAGAAATACTGGAGACCAGCAGATGGCATAATGGTTATGTTGCTGGACTCCCACGTTGTTGACCGTGGTTCTAGTCCTGGACCTGGTGGCTTAAAACTCACGTCAGGCACGTGTGTGTGCATGCCCAAAATCCTAAGAGAACAGAGGAGAAGGGGTTGCACCGTGGCCATCCCCCTCGGGTGGGGGGGTGATTTTTCACTTTCTCTCTCTCTGGTTAGTGCACACACCCTGCAGCAAAACTGTCTCTTAAAAAAAAAGAGAGAAATGCTGAAGACAGACCACCTCCGTGATGTTCTGTAACACTAGTAGAAAATCAGCTGTGGTCTGACCACCTAACGGCACGGAGATGTTCTGAGATGAAGCACATTCTCCATTCACAGACGTTCCTGCATCTGAGAGTGGGTGCGAGGTCTCAGAGTACAGCGTGGAGGTGACGGAGCCCGAGGACGTGGCCTCGGAGGTGTACCACGGGCCGGAGCTGCAGTGCACTGTGGGCAACCTGCTCCCCGGGACCGTGTACCGTTTCAGGGTGCGGGCTCTGAACGACGGCGGGGTGAGTGCAGCTGTAGACCACAGCAGAGCCTGGGCGGAGTGCTCGCCGGTCCCACCGCGGTCCCTTCACTGTCCCGGTCACAGCCATGAAGGGAGTGCGTATAAAGCCTGGCTTCTGAACAGTATTGTGATTCCGTGTGGACACAGCCTTAGAAATGCGCTGTCTCTTTTGCTTTCATATTATCCTATTAAGATAGAGGTTAATAAGACTATCACCCTGCAGATGCTTTCGACAGTTCTTAAAAATATGTTTTTCTCGCATTGACTTTATCAGTTCTGAGAATTCGGCCTATGAGATAGTCCTATTAGTTCTGTAACATGTTCTCTAAACGAACCAATGATGTCTGAGATCAATTTTTACAACTGGAGGGGGAGGGACCAGCAGTTGGCATAATGGCTATGTGGCTGGACTCCCATGTAGTCAACTGCTCCTCTTCTCCTTCTCTCGTATTAGAACATGAAGAAATTAGCCTAAACTATTATTTTGAAATTATTTTATTAATGTACTTCCTTTGGAAAATATAGATAATATTGTTGGAGAACTCTTCTCTTATAGCTCTTTTTTTGGTGGGGGAATGAGTTCTTTTTTAAGAGAAATACTGGAGACCAGCAGATGGCATAATGGTTATGTTGCTGGACTCCCACGTTGTTGACCGTGGTTCTAGTCCTGGACCTGGTGGCTTAAAACTCACGTCAGGCACGTGTGTGTGCATGCCCAAAATCCTAAGAGAACAGAGGAGAAGGGGTTGCACCGTGGCCATCCCCCTCGGGTGGGGGGGTGATTTTTCACTTTCTCTCTCTCTGGTTAGTGCACACACCCTGCAGCAAAACTGTCTCTTAAAAAAAAAGAGAGAAATGCTGAAGACAGACCACCTCCGTGATGTTCTGTAACACTAGTAGAAAATCAGCTGTGGTCTGACCACCTAACGGCACGGAGATGTTCTGAGATGAAGCACATTCTCCATTCACAGACGTTCCTGCATCTGAGAGTGGGTGCGAGGTCTCAGAGTACAGCGTGGAGGTGACGGAGCCCGAGGACGTGGCCTCGGAGGTGTACCACGGGCCGGAGCTGCAGTGCACTGTGGGCAACCTGCTCCCCGGGACCGTGTACCGTTTCAGGGTGCGGGCTCTGAACGACGGCGGGGTGAGTGCAGCTGTAGACCACAGCAGAGCCTGGGCGGAGTGCTCGCCGGTCCCACCGCGGTCCCTTCACTGTCCCGGTCACAGCCATGAAGGGAGTGCGTATAAAGCCTGGCTTCTGAACAGTATTGTGATTCCGTGTGGACACAGCCTTAGAAATGCGCTGTCTCTTTTGCTTTCATATTATCCTATTAAGATAGAGGTTAATAAGACTATCACCCTGCAGATGCTTTCGACAGTTCTTAAAAATATGTTTTTCTCGCATTGACTTTATCAGTTCTGAGAATTCGGCCTATGAGATAGTCCTATTAGTTCTGTAACATGTTCTCTAAACGAACCAATGATGTCTGAGATCAATTTTTACAACTGGAGGGGGAGGGACCAGCAGTTGGCATAATGGCTATGTGGCTGGACTCCCATGTAGTCAACTGAGATTCGAATCCCGGTTCCAGTGGCATAAACTCATGCTGGGCGTGTGTGCCTGCCCAAGATCCCAAGAGGAGAATGGAGGAGAAGGGATTGCGGTGTGGCCATCTCCCCCGGGGAGTGATTTCTTGCTTTTTGTCTCTCTCTGTCTTTCTGGCGAGTGCATGCACCCTATAGCAAAAATACCTCTCTGGAAAAAAAAAAGAAAAGAACTGCTGTACCCTAGAAGAGTGTGCAATGACTATAAGCCAGAAATGATCATTTCGAAAGTCCCACTTATCTATTCGTGACAAATTAAAGCACAGCGTGTATCTGACTTAGTTTTCTTTGTCGTCCTCTGAGAAATGTTAAAGACACGGGTAAGGTCTATTATCTGTTGACGAGGATGTGTGTGGTGGTCTCAGCTGGGCTGGACTGAGGTGTCTATCATGCTGGGTAAAGTCTCTTCACAATCTAAATGATGGATAGCGACTTAATGTGTGAATAATAATAAAAATAAATGATAATAATAGTGATAAATAAAATAATCATTATTTCCTTTTCTCTTTTTTTTTTGGAGAGATTTTCACTATAGGGCGCGTGCGCTCGCCAGACAGACAGAGACATAGAGACAGAAAGCGAGA